TAAATGATATCCTAATGTGGAAATTGAGCATTCCGGTGCAGGAAGACGTCACCTCTAACGATCCAGATCGGGTTAGACTACAACTCCCATTAGCATAGCGGACGGTTGGGGATTGTGGAAGTTGGAGTCCAGCATATGAGGAGGCACCGGTAGCAATGGTCTGAACAGAGCATCTTTCATCCTTGAAAATTCAGAGTGTCTTGTTTGCACGAAGGATCTGTGTCACCTGCCCTCAACCTTCCTCTGGATTCTGGGCCACATTTTGTGAGATAATAATAATAGTTGTGTGGCGTCAAGTCAATTCTGAATTTATGGCAGCCCTTTCGGGAGTTTTCCAGGTAGAAGTGCTTTACCCTATCCTTCCTCTAGGGGCGCTGTTGCACTGTGCAGCTCGCCCAAGGCTACCCAGGCTGGCTCTTCTCATAGGAGGCACCGTGGGGAGATTCGAACCCCCACCCTCTGGCTCTGTAACCAGAGACCTAAATCATGGAGCTATCCGACCATCTTATTTTTGTGAGACACAAGAGACAAAACAGGTCCGTTTTTAAGATGTTAAATAGAACGTTGACCTCTTTTATAGGAGATCCCCGGGGTGCTAGCTCCTATCCACCTGATACATTCAGCACATTGGGTAGTTCCTTTATAGTTCGGACTAAAACACAGAGCAACACATTCCTCTCCCCACCCCACCCCAGAGCTCTGACTGCTTCAGGAGCTTCTGGATGGGGGACGTTGAGATGAGAGTTCGAGGCAGAGCAGTGGTTGGGCGTGTCCAGCCATTGAGTTCTTGTTAGGTTGATGGTCCCAGCAGCAATAATCATGGTCTGGAACGATGGGAGCTGTGGTCTAATCGTATCTAGAGGGCCACGTCTCCCCCGCCCCAGCAGCAAAGATACAACAGGAAGGCAGAATAAACTCCAGCAAGAAGAGATGGCTAACAAAGAGGTGAGGAGTGTGTAGCATCCAGAAAGAATGTAATTTCCCTTTATTCTGCTCTGTTTATTCATTTGTTGCCCATTCCACCTCTAGATACCATCCCTATCCTCTTCCTCATTGACTTAGAACTGCAGAATTTCCCTTTATTCTGCTCTGTTTATTCATGTGTTGCCTATTCCACCTCTAGATACCATCCCTATCCCTCATTGACTTAGAACTGCAGAAAATCATCCAGCCCAGCCCCTATCAAGGAGGCCCAGTGAGAATTCGAACTCCCAACCTCGGACTGCACAGCCAGAGATCGTCCCCCCCCCGAGCTCTCCAGGGGTCCCATGGTTGCTTGTGCTGTGCCCTCCCTGCCTGGCTGTGTCTTCCAAAAGGATAAGAGGAGGAGCCTACCGTCTAGATTTGACAATATAGGGTAGAGCAGAAATAGGAAAAAGAGAAAGGGGTAGAGAAAACGAGGTGACCTGCCTTCAGCGATACGGGAATCGGGCGACGGCCAGGGTTTTGTGCCGAAGGTTGCAGAAGGAAACGATGGGTTCTGACAAAGAAAACGAGACCAGGAGTAAATCTGAGGTGCGGTGGAGTAAGGGGACGATAGGGTTTGTGACACAGATATTCTAAATGTTGCCTCTTCTGTTGGAATAGAATTATTTATCTGGCTATTGCGTGTCCCTTGTGTTTATAAGCTCGGTGGTTTAAGAATCTGGATGTGGAGCCAGAGGTTTGAAGTTTGACTCCTTAAGAGCCAGCCCGGGTAGCCTTGGGCAAACTGCCGAATCCCAGAGCGCCCCCTAGAGGAAGGTAAAGGTAAAGCACTTCTGTGTTCTTTACCTAGAAAAGGGTTACCATGTCAGAATTGACATGGTGGCCCATGATGATGATTTATTGCATGTCTCTTACACCTCACCCTTCTCAGGTCTGCTTTGACACTCGGGAGAGCGTTGATCCTGTGTCTTTTTCTCTCTTGAAACCCTCCACTCCATCATGACTGGAGACTCATAATCCCCAGGGCCAAATCTGTGACTTTGGGATTTCCCTGGCAGTGGCCCTGTATATACGTCTTGTTGCTTAATGAATTTATGTAACCCCTGACCCTCGCTAAAGAGACCTCCAAGCAGCACTGAAACGTGGGCCTCTAATATAACGCACACACAAATAGAACGCCCTGTACGGTACAAACTGTAAATCGTGAAGTCCTGAATAATGAATGGAAATAAGAATCAACGAAAAGGCTTAAAATCAGAGGCGTGGAACGCCGTTCTTCAAATGGGCATCCAGGTTTTCAAAGCCCCGGAGGGGAAGAAATCTTAAGTGGCGCCTGCAGCTTGCACCGTGGCAGAGGGCAACCTCGCTAATAAAAACTTGTCAACTCATCTCTGCTGGAAGCCGAGAAACTAGGTAGACACCAAACTGTTGTCTAGCGTGTTGTTAAGGCCTTTTCGGGGAGCAGCCATCAAAGTCTCTTTCGGAACAATAAATCCCATCGTGTTGCGGGTTTTTTCCCCCTTCTAAACGCTGGATACGCCAAAGTGGAAGAATGCATTCTAGGCTGGCCCAGAATTGCTGTTAGGGCACAGAACTTTGGAGAAAGTCTTTAATAAAGATAATCTTAGGCGTTCCAAGCTGGAAGGGACCCTCTAGATCATCAAGTCCACCCACTGTTAAGGAGGCCCGGCTTTCCGGATTGCAAATGCAGCTGAACCGGGAAGCCCAACGCTCTTCTCTTTTGCTCGAGGGGTTGTGGAGGGGTGACGGGTGAACCCCATCACCAGAGCAGGTGGCGTTGGGGCTTGGGTTGGGCTGTCAGCCAGCCTCGTTTCCTCCTCGCACAGCGCTCGGGAGACTTTGTCACTCTGAAGATCCCGGATGACTCACCCCACATTTGGCTGCTCCGAGCAGGGCTCCTTGTTCCCAAGAAGCTGTGTGTTCAGGAGGACGCCATATGGCATTGAGGAGAAAAATGGAGACACCCGGGTGTCAGAGGGAAGAAACAGCGTCGTACCTCGCGGGAAGCTGCTGGGTGATTAATTCCACCCGCTTGGCCCCTTGGAAGCTGCCTCATGTCTGCAGATTTCCTTGGAAGGCTGCAAGAGGACACGTGGAAGATATTACTTGAGTGGAGAGAGGAGATTTATGGAGAGGAGAGGTGGAAGACGGGGGTCCCCCCCTTATAGGGCAGGCCCTGACATTCAGCCTCAGGTAGCAGAGGTTGGCCGGGGGCAACGAGGCGTTTGAATGCAGAGGTGTGGGGTGAGTCCCCTAAGTTAGATCAGTGCCATCCAGTTGGCAGAGAATACTGCCTCTTTTGTCAAAACAGAGAAGTAATGAGTTGCAAGTAAATTTAGCCACCTGTCTTTAGTAACTAATTCCTTTTTTTGTTAATGCAATGGCAAACGTCAGAGGCGATAGATGAGGCTTTGTCAATGTTCCCCGGTAAACATTTTGTAGCAATTTGCAAAGAGTGTTTTTAAAGGTCATTTTTAGAGATGTTTGGCAGGAATTTCCAAGGTTTATGTCATTTCTTTATCGCCCCCGAGGGCTTCCCGGCTAAAAGCCACGAGCAAGACAATAAATAAATCTAGCGTGTTAATTTTTCAACCCGGTGACGAACAACAGCAACAGGTTCAAACTCTCTACGAATTAAAGAAAGTGAATTTTTAAATAATAATCTTTCCAAATTTTAGAAAGAGAACTAAGATGCCAAACCAGTCAGGTGGGTCCTGTGACCTTATCTCTCCTCCAGCCCAAGCATCCGGCTTTTCCATGTATTATTAGTGGTCGAGAGCATAAATTTTGGAAAAGGAATGTTTCACCTAAGCTTGGGTGAGAGATGTGTAATGTGAAGAAATTTCAGAATGGGCAACGCTCAGGTGGACAGACTGGATGGATGGATGGATGGATGGATAGATAGATAGATAGATAGAGAGATAGATAGATAGATAGATAGATAGAGAGATAGATAGATAGATAGATAGATAGAGAGATAGATAGATAGATAGATAGATAGAGAGATAGATAGATAGATAGATAGATAGAGAGATAGATAGATAGATAGATAGATAGATCAGAGGCATAGTTCACTATGAGCATATAGCACTCGTGAAATCTTTTCTGTGCAGGATCATGTATAGGGAGTCTATGCTGTTCATCAGTTTATTTTTGTAGGCTCTGTTAAACCTTTTAAGTGGAGTGTCTATGAGTGCTTCTAATTAAGAGCTACGAGCAGTTACACCCTGTAATGCAGTCAAACAAGAAGGAAGTAACCAGAGGTTACCGAAATAACAGGTTTGTGCCTGACGCACCTTTGACAGCGGCTGATTTTTGTGGAGTGGAGGGTGTTTTTTTTTTAAAAAAAATGCAAATGTCTCGTGCAGGAAAACGTGGCAGATTGGAAAAAAGGCACTTGGGGGGTGCGACTCTGAGCAATTCACATGTGCTGGAAAGATTTAAGGCTACAGAGAAAAACAGTGGATATAGGGACTCCCTCCCGGGGGGGGAACATGGGAACATTGGTTCATTTATTCGTTGATTTATTTTATTAGGCTGATATCTTACTTTTTCTCCAGTGAGCTCATGGTGGCGTGTGTGGCTCCCTTCCTTGCTAATTTGGACCTCCCAATAACCCTGGGAAGGCTGGCCAGGAGAAGGGATTCCACAGCGACCCCAGGTTCATTGGAGAGCTTGGACGTGGATCCCCGAGACCATAATCCACTACTCCGATCGCTCCACCACTTGACAATCTCTGATTCTGGGGCCTGGCTTCACCACCCAGGGGTACCCACATGACTTTGGGGTTCACAGAAAGGTGTAAAGGCCCATCCTTTGTGTTTCTTCTCCTCCCTTCTTCACGGAAGAAGGGGAAAAAAATCTGGATGCAGAGGAAGCCGATTCAAGGAATCCACATGCAAATGCTCAACATCTCCATAAACACCTGCGCACGGGAACTTGCTGATTTTACAGTTTGATGCTCGGAGCGGCAAGATTGACAGGTCTTCCTGCCATAAACACTGTCTCATCCTCTCTCTTCCTCCTGTTTTTTCCCCCCCCTCCATTTTCAGATAATCGCCTTTGACGAACTGCACATGGATTTCAAAAACCCCATTGACCAAGGCAATCCAGCCCGGGCCGTAAGTCAATACATGTCGTGTCTGAGGTGTGTCTGTCACTGAGTCCGTTTGTCTGTCCTCCCTGCCCTTTCTTACCCCTCCTCCAAGCTCTGTGTTTCCCTTCTGTGGATCCCCGAGACCATAATCCACTACTCTGATCACTCCACCACTTGACACTCTCTGATGGCTTGGCTTCACCACCCAGGGGTACCCACGCGACTTTGGGGTTCGCAGAAAGGTGTAAAGGCCCGTCCTTTGTGTTTCTTCTCCTTCGTTCTTCACGGAAGAAGGGGGGGGGGGAAATCTGGATGCAGAGGAAGCCGATTCAAGAAACCCACATGCAAATGCCCCCCATTTCCATAAACACCTGCGCTCGGGAACTTGCTGATTTTACAGTTTGATGCTCGAAGCGGCAAGATTGACAGGTCTTCCTGCCATAAACACTGTCTCATCCTCTCTCTTCCTCCTGTTTTTTCCCCCCCCTCCATTTTCAGATAATCGCCTTTGACGAACTGCACATGGATTTCAAAAACCCCATTGACCAAGGCAATCCAGCCCGGGCCGTAAGTCAATACATGTCGTGTCTGAGGTGTGTCTGTCACTGAGTCCGTTTGTCTGTCCTCCCTGCCCTTTCTTACCCCTCCTCCAAGCTCTGTGTTTCCCTTCTCGCTGAGCTCCGGATCTAGTTTCTCTCAAGAACGAGCAGCACGCCTTTCAGGATGATGGGCAGAGCGTGGGGGGGGTTTTTGAAAAATTTGGCCCTTGATTCGCCTGCTTTGCATGGATTCAGAAAGCATCAAACCCAAACCTTCCCATGTTCATTTAAAAAAGAGAGGACAATGTCGAGATATTGGGGTACACCCCATCCAATCCACTGTGAATGCCAATGTTAGGCAGCCCTATTTATTTATTAAGTATCAGTTTAAAATACAGTAGTGCCTCGCTTAACGATTGCCTCGTTAAACGACGAAACTGCTACACAATGACTGTTTTGTGATCGCTTTTGCGATCGCAAAACAATGTTTTAATAGGCAAAATTCGCTTCCTGACGATTGGTTCCCTGCTTCGGGAACCGATTCTTCGCATTACGATGTTTTTAAAACAGGTGATCAGCGGCTGCAAAATGGCCAACCGCTGTGTTTTTTGGATGGATTCCTCACTATACAGGCACCGAAAATGGCTGCCCCTATGGAGGATCTTCGCTGGACGGTGAGTTTTTCAGCCCATTGGAACGCATTGAATGGGTTTTCAATGTGTTTCAATGGGATTTTTTATTTCGCTTAATGAGGATTTTGCTCTACAGCGATTTTGCTGGAACGGATTATCCTCGTTAAGCGAGGCACTACTGTAGATTGACCCCACCTTTCTCCTCAAAAAGGACCCAGGGCAGCTGACATGGCTGAAAGACAATGTTTAAAAGGGAACGGAAGTAAGTAGATATATCCAACACGAATCCAACATGAAAAACGGTAAACAGCAACACCCAAAATGTATTCAGAGCTGAAAGGGACAGCCATCCATTGAAACCCCGTACTCGGCAGCCATTCGCTGAGGGAAAGCTTGCCTGAAGAGAAAGGTCTTGGCCTGCTTGCGGAAAGAGAGCCAAAGTGGGGCCAGCCTGGTTTCCAGTGGTGGGGAGTTCCAGAGTCTGGGAGTCACCGCCAAGAAGGCCCTCTCCCATGTTCCCATCAAATGCATCCGTGAAGCTGGTGGCCAAGCGGGGATTTGAACCCTGTTCTCCAGAGTCCTATCCTGTCACTCTCTCTCTGCTACACCACACCGGGAACCCCACAGTGACGTACCTCATCAGATTTAACCAGACCCTAAGCATCTTAAGAGTAATGAACCAGCTACTGGACATGCTCAGCTAAGATGTCGGCTTTTATGGATCGCAACATAGGATCACAGAATAACAAGGTTGAAAGGAGTTAATAATAATAACACTCTTAGATTTGCAGAGCTGGAAGGGACCCTGCGGATCATCAAATCCAGCACTTGTCAAAGGCGGCCCAGGGCGGGATTCGAACTCCCGCCCTCTGGCCCCGCAGCCTGAGATTTCGACCCCTGAGCAATTACCCAGTGGTTTATATAAAGCCATAATGAGGACTTAATGCCTGATGAGATCATGGGTCTTTCAAGTGTCAAATAAAAACGCCGGCCACTTTAGAGGACCTCTCCAAGGTCCTGAATGCTACACCACCGCCCTCCGAAAAGGGCCGGCATTTATTTATATTATTTGAAATATTTTTACCCCACCTTGCTCCTTCAAAAGGACTCGTGTCTTTCAAAGGTAGCTAAAACCCAGATCCCCAAGCCTCGTAAAAACGGGGTTCTCTAACCTGCACTACCAGAATGACAAATGGGGTTTTTTTTTGGAAACCAGGGAGAAGAGGTTTGAAGCGTTGGTTACGTCGAGCCAGAAGCTTATAAGCAGGCTGAGAGGTGTCTGCCATTATCCGAAGGGCTGTCGTGCAAGATGATGGAGCCGCCGTGTTCCTGACGCTCCTGAACGGCAGCCGCAGAATCCGTGGGTGGAAACGGGCTTTTCGTTGAACGTTAGGAGAAACCTCCCAAAGCGTGAAAGCCATTCATGGCAGAGCTGAGAAGGGTTGCGTTAGATAGAGAGGGGAACGATGCTCCCAAAGGTTCCTTCCATATTTTTTAAAATATATGATCCTGCGCCTTGAACCTTTTAAGTCAGCAAGTGGAGGCATCCGAAATGGACAATATACAGTATTTGCTGAGCTAAGACACCATTAGAAACGGGGAAAGCTTTTAAGCCTAACAGGACTCTTCTCTGAGCTTAGCACGGCAGGATACAGAAATCCACGCTATGCGAGGTCGTTCCCAGAGCACGATTTTATTTCGCAGTTCACCTTTCACTTTAATTGTGGGATTTTATTTAGTGCCGGGGGGGGGAGTTGTCTAAAATCTAAACAAACATGGCTTCCATGTGTAACCCCCTTGTGTTTCCCCCATTACTTCTTGTTTTTCCTTCTCAGAAAGAACACTAAGGGGGGGGGTGGAATAAAAGAGGTGCACAGCCGGTCTTATCAAGGTATATTTAGCCTGGGTGGATCCAGGCTGTTTGAAAGATGGCATCACCCCCTATAAGCCTTCTCAGCCCTTAAGATCATCTGGGGAGCCCCTTCTCTCGGTCCCATAACCTTCCCCAGCTCATTCAGTGAAGACACAAGACAGGGCCTTCTCGGTGGCTGCTCTGCCCCTAAAAGCCAGTTGGCCCTTTCCCTCCTGCCCTCCTTCCATCATCACGCAAAAAAGACCTTCCTCTTCAGGCGGGCCGTTGAGCCATCAATCACCTCAGGAAAGCTGGCTTTTTCACTTACACAATTTCCAGTGACTTCTATCTGGTTTTATATGTACTTGATAGTTTTAATCCAGGTATATTTAATTGTTTTTTTTTGGGGGGGGGTTGTTTTGTTTTTGGAATCGTAATATTTCTATAGTGTTTCAAAATGGCCGATTTTACCTGTGGCGAGCTGCCTTCGGTCCCCGATGGGGAGGAAGGTGGCATATAAAGAAACCAACAAACAAGCAAGAATGCACGCAAGCAAGCACGCAAGCAAGCACGTAAGCACGTAAGCAAGCAAGCAAGCAAGCAAGCAAGCAAGCAAGCAAGCAAGCAAGCACGCAAGCAAGCACGCAAGCAAGCAAGCAAATATCTGTCCAAGCTCTTCATCTGGAACCCCCCCTGAATTAAACAGTCTTGAGATCAGGGGATGCCAGCCTTTCCCCCAGGATGACACCTTCACACCCCATAAACTCCATTTAATATATATATATATATTAATACCCCACCCACGCACCCCAGTATTCCTGCCTTCCAGTGGCAGCAAACCCATGACTCCGGATTTTTAACCGACCCTTCTCTAAGATCCCTGTTTCCTGGGAGTCACCCATGCACACATATGAACCAGGCCCAACCCTGCTTAGCTTCCGAAGCCCGACAAGGTTTTGAGGTGTTGTGCTATAGCTGTGCTCGGTGTTGCCCCCTGGCAGAGTAAGCTTCCCCCATCATCTGCCCTCCCTTTTGAACAGAGATGGAAACTGCAAAGCAGGAGCGGTCTCTCCCCACCT